ACCTAAGCCCAACTGGCTCCAAATGGCAGGTTCCCGTTCATGGACTGCAAGCAGAGACAGGCACCTCCCTGCAGCCTGGACTTAGGTGCCTACCATCATGAAAGAGATAGTGCTTAGCATATCCCTCTCATCATCATGACCCATTGGCTAACTTAGGCGGCTTCCTGCCTAGCATGCTACGTTTTGTGGATCACATTCTTAGGTGCCTATCTCTCCCCATTCATTGTATGGGGACCCTAGGCACCTAACTCGGGCTTTGGGGATGGCTGGGGTATTCCTGTGAGTTTCCAGGTGCCTAAAAGTTAGGTGCTGTGACACACCGCATTGCAATACCTACGTCCCTTTGTGGATCCCACCCGTTGGACCTAATTCTGCGAGGTGTTGAACTCCTAAGAGGCACTGAATGCCTTCATCTCTCATTGCCTTCAAAACATCGTCTTTTCAGGCCAAACTAACCTTCCAAGACAAAGTTATAGTGGGGTCTAAAATAAACCTTTGCAAAGGAATCTGTTTGCAGCCTTAGCTATGGAGAGTGGCTGGTGCCTCTCCATAATTCAAATGAAAACACTTTTGAATTTATATAGCACCTTTCATCTAAGCATTGCAAAAGGCCCAACCGTGCAAGAAATTGACTGTGCTCCTCCACCCAACTTGCTTTCAAAGGGCCAGTAAATACCTTCTGTTATATGTGCCTGTTTACATGTGTTCATAACTTACTGAACCTTCTTCTTCTTCGTCTGGGAAGATCTCAAATTAGTTTCACCCTGATGGAAAAAGAAACATGCAGGGTAACAGGATGCCATCACCTGCCAAAAAATGGTAAATCCAATCCAGAATCTTGAAAAAATATGGTGTGTGTGTATATAAATAAAGATACAGGGGAAGAGTCAGTGCTGTGCCTCTCAGGAGGTACAGCACAGAGGCATAAACCAGCATGGGAGGGCAAAGCATGGCTTTAAGACTCCTTTGTGCCACCAGAATCTGGGCAGCTCTGGGTACCTGCACAGACCCTTGACCACGTGAGATCAGCGCCAGATGGAGCAGGATCATGAACATGAGAGTTCTGTGTTGTGAAAATGCTGTACTGGGAAGCATTTAGGTCTAATTTTAAGCCTTTCTCTGAAAGGAAGTTTGATACAGATTTGATCTGACAAGACTTCAAGTGTGTGCTTGTAGATCAAGCTCTCCTCTCTCCCCAGGTATAAGCCTGATATTTAACCTCTCAGGTGCTTTGGCAAAGATAAGTATAATTTGTGGTGACATCTAGGCTACACTGTGAGAGAATACTCCCTCAGGAAATATACAGAAAGTACCTGCCAGAAGACAAGATTCAGTGGCTTAAATATGCATTATACTGTGTTAGGTGACTAAAATGATACTCAAAGTGGTGAAACTAAACAGAACTGCCACCATTGGGAATAATTCATTAGAACAGTTTTCCAATGGTAGCTTTAAATAACCAGATCTTAAAGTTCATTGGCTTTCTGAAAATGTTGTCTTTGCAATTATTCAAGACGAAAGCATATCCCATTTTTAAAACTAATCTTGCAAATATTCACTCCAAGGATCCTTCAAATTCACTGTTGTAATGGCGCTACTTTTTAACTTGCCTTTAGTTTGATTTTAAGGCCATCCATCCTTAAATAAAAATTCTGGAGACTTCTTGCCTTTGAAATAGAAACCTTCAGAAGATCAAGCCTTGGGAGCAGAGGGGCAATTAGGCCTTGACCAGAATCAGAAATGTTGTGCTTTCAACGTTATCTGTGTTAGCAGCATGTTTGACCTCTAGTGGTGGCACTTCTCATTAATTATTTTGTCTGCCTCCTTTATGCTAGATGTGATGTCTCTGAACAAACGCCCCACCGGACAGCCTAACATAGGTTTAATGGACAAGTTTCTGACTACAGCTGGACTGGCAATGTCAGGCAGCAGGGGAACCAGAGAGTATTCTTGGCACTCAGTGCCTCGCCTCAGCATTTGATATTTAGCGTCACAACCTTGTGGTACTTCCTTTGAACAAAAATGTCTTCTTAACTACTATATTTCAAAGGTATTCAGGCCTTAGAAGCATTTTGTCGGGATCATCAAATTCATATTCTTTGACCCAGGCCACCCACATACAAGTGTGTTGCAAATGGCTGTCAGAGTTCTGATGACACATTTTCCAGTTCTGGATTGTTCTGTTTCAGCTTACTTTGTTCATTTACTTCTTTCTGTTGCTTGACTGTGACTGAGTGCAAAGTGAATATTGTGATAAAGATCTATTGCAGAACCAACGTGTTCCAGACTTGCCTTTCCCCCTGCCCAAAAAAGGACATGACACACTATTCTAGACAAGGAAACGTATAGCTTATTTGCAATGTCATGATTCTTATAGTGCTATTTTCAGCCATGGAGTTTTCACTTCCCAGGTGAGACTGCAGCACAGGTAGATATACCCATTCTAACTTTACGCATGCTAGCCATTTCTCTGACCTGTTTTCCATCGCTATGTCTGACACTGTTGTAGCCAAATCCACTGCCCAGTGCATTCATTCACAGATCTGATGATATTTACTTGTGGCAAGAGGATCCACAGAATCGGTCTCGCACTTATTAAATATTCTGCCAATATTTGAACCTTCATTCCATGGATGCAGACGGCTACAGTAGATTCAGCTAAGACTCTACACAAACATTGACTGCTGAGAGCTTTAGTTATGTTCTGTGGTATGCACTTAAAGCAATATTTTTGGTTATACAGCATTGTCATACCATAAATTCTAAGCTTTCAGGAACAGAGAGTTAAAACGAATCCTCACTTCCCCATCAGTAGATACACTACATGCTCACAGTACTGTCTCAACTGATTGTTATAGACTTGCTCTTGATTTCTGGAGTGAAGTTTCTCAGTGCCCTTGTGGTTAACTGGAACTTTCAAGGTTATTTCCATGCTTCCCATAGCATTGTCTTCCCTATCCTGAAAATGAGGCAACCCTGCATAATATCATTTGAACTTTCTAGGACACCCATGAGATCCACTGGAACAAGTTTTCTTTGTGTATCCACCATGCACAATACTCCCAGAAGCCTTGGATCCTCTTATCAGCATAGAAAAGGTTGAGCTCCATAATATGTGGAAGTGAAAAGAGCACATATGGTATGTGCAATCTAGCATGTGGAACCATAAAATGAAAACACTGCTTTAATTGTGAATATCTGAGTGAACTTCATTTTGTCCTCTTTGGGAAAGTATGCTCCAAATCTACAGGAAGATATGACATCTATGGAACACAACAAAAAATTTCAGCAATTTCAAAACACTTTGATACTATAAATTGTATTGGTATCACGTGGAATAGAGCCACTGAAGTTTGCATATATTAAGGAGTTAGCAATGGAAATGATACTCATTTAAAGCTTTGTAAAGATTCCCTAATGGCTTGTGAATTTCCTGTGCCTAAAATAAAAGTAGCCTCCCACTCTTCAGGCACTTTGTAACCTGGATCAGTTTTCCTTGTATCTGAGTTACTTACCAATCTTTTACAGCTCTCTGAAGATCTGGCTGCAGACAAGGAACAGAATAGTAGACAGTCTTCTGGACTCCCTGTTGCCTGTCCCCCACACCACCACTCCTAGGTATATTAATCCCTTTAAAAATTATTAGTAAGATGGCTGTCTACCTAATAGAAGCTCTCCTTTTTCTCTCCTGCTTGGTCTAAAGTTTACTTTCAGTTACTGATTTGGGACAGGACAAAGGAATAGGTGAAGCTAGTGACTTCTGTGAAAAAGTGTTAGTCACAGACTCAGACTTGGAGTCCTTCCTTTCGTGGATACTCTAATTTTGAACTAAGTGTTTGGGGAACTCAAGTAGATAAGGCTCTTCATCCATTCCCTCCTAGATCTAAAAGTTAAGGTGGGGATGGATGGAGTGAACCTAATGGAACTAAAGGCTTTCTGTAAACAACACATTCATTGAACAAACTATATTTCTTAACACTTTTCAGACAGACTTAAGAACAGACATACAAATTTCTCTCTTCTCTTGAATTCCACCAGAGAAATCAAGACAAAAGTGCAAGTACCACTAAAGCCAAACCCCAGGAAGCGAGTTTGGAAGTAACTCTGGGCCTGTGGGCCGGATTCATACCTTTGCCAGGACTAACTTGCACAGGGACCTAGGGGAAGATGAATACCATTCCCCCCGTTCTCTGCTGGGGATAAAGATGCAGGCTATGAAAGGTAGCTGGGGATACCTTAAATTGTGCTTCCCACTGTCACAACTCTTATGGGGCTAGAAGCAATGGGGAATTGTTGGGCTGTAGGTCCACTTCAGCCGTGCCTCCTCCTACTCAGAGGACGGTAGTGGGTTACAGAGGTGGTGCAGAAGTGGCAGAGTTGGGGAAGGGGTGGATCTGAACTAGGAGGGTTCAGTGTGGTGGGGGAGATGAACTAGTGTGACTGCAACGCAGGGTGAATTATTCCTATTGTGTGCTTTGCTGCTGATGGAGTAAGGACCCAGTCCATTCACACAGACCACTCTGAAGCCAGCCTATATACACATCTGACTCTTTAGAACACTTTTATTTCCACTAAAAAAAAACAAAAAAAACTAACTTTGCTTTATTTTTACCTTTCTCACCAGCTAAATTTCCTGTTAAATTCACGGTGATCCATGCTGACAACTTCACTTCTTGTTTTAGTTACACAAAAGGAATCAAATAGCATGAAGATTCCATGAAATTCGTAGACAAGACTGAAGATGAACAAGTTGAACTCCTCTAATGATCAATATTGTTAACCTTTATGATCGGGGAAATCATGCCCATTTCCTGATTTAAACAAATTCTGCAGTTCGCCTCTCCTGCTCTCGCCTTCTCCCCATGGAATTTGGAAATAAAAGGTGGCATTATAGTGCAAAACTATTTCCATTTCTCTAGCTCACTTTAAGTAACAAGGTTAAATGATTGAACTGAGAGTAATTCTATTTGCTTTCTACAGATGAAAGGAAACAACAACAATTATATAAATTTAGGCATGTTTTATTTTATACTTTCACAGCAGATTTTGGTTTGTAAACACAGATAAGTTACCAGTTCTGTCTCTTCTTTCATGGTGACAATAACTGAGAGATGCATTTTTTAAATGTATTACCTGAGTTAAAAAGAGAGATTTTGTGTCTTTTACCTTACAATCATTTACAGTAATGTTCACAGAAGGAATACAAAAAGAAATATTTTCCAAAATAAGACATCTCCTTTTTGCTATAAAGTTATAGAAAAATACATCAAAACACGCTAGGATGATTTGCCTTGATCTGAAATGTCTGCATATCATTTACCTGAAACAAATTAACTAATGCACAGGAGAAGTGCAAACTGCATTAGTCCTGCAGTAACAAAATATCGACATTGTCATGAACACCTTGTAAAAGTAACTCTCCTGGGTAAGTAACAATCTTCCTTCGTTTTGCAGCCTTAAGAGTGCCCACTAGGGCCTCAAAGAGGTTGGCACATTTTTCATCAGCAAAGAGCACACCAAACTTCACACTCAGCTTTCCATCAGCATCTAAATCAGAGATAGGAGTGTTACAACACATGCAGATTGTCCTTCAGTTGGAGGAATATTTGGAGGTATTGATATGAAATACAGTCAAAACACGACAGGAGACTTGGATTGTATTTCCAGCTCAGTGAATGATCTTTTGTGCGACCTTGGCCAAGCCACTTCACCACTCTGATACTTACCTTTCTTTGTAAAGTGGAGATCTATGGATGAAAAGCACTATAAGACATTATTATTGAAGCTGTAGAAATTGATTTGTTTTAAAATAGTTTCTTATGCTGGTTAACATTTAAAGTCCAAATTGAAAAGCTAATGTGTCCCTCTTTGCCTCACAAAAATAGCTCTCTTGAAGTGGTACAAATTAATTTCAAAACAATCACTCAGTCTACATTCTCTCTAACAAGCAGATAATGTTATGTAATAAACAAAATTTAATTAACAGGTTTTTTTATTAAAATAAATAGAAATAAACAGAGTTACACTTTCATAAAGCTGGAATAACAAATTATTGAACCAGATCCTAGTTCAGAGGTGGGCAAACTTTTTGGACCGAGGGCCACATCAGGGTTGCCAAACTGTATGGAGGGCCAGGTAGGGAAGGCTGTGACTCCCCAAACAGCCTGGCTCCCCTGCCCCCTCCCATTTCCTGCCCCCTGACTGCCCCCCTCAGAATCCCCAACCCATGTAACTCCCCCTACTCCTTGTCCCCGACCTCTCCCTCCCGGGACTCCCCTCCCTATCCAACCCCCCCACCCCTTGACCCCTGACCACCCCCTCCCAGGACCCCACCCCCCATCCAACCCCCCCTTCTCCCTGTCCCCGACTGGCCCACAGGACCTCCTGCCCCTTATCCAACACCCCCCCCCCATCCCCTTACTGGCTGGAGCCAGCCATGCTCCCCAGCAGGAGCTCGCAGACACGCCGCCCAGAGTGCTGGTGGCGTAGCTACGGGGGAAGGGGGGACAGCAGGGGAGGGGCCTTCCCGGCCGCGAGCTCAAGGGCCGGACAGGACGGGCCCGTAGTTTGCCCACCTCTGTCCTAGTTGCACACATTTCTTATTTTATCATTATAGACACTTTTTTTAAAAGGTAGAGCTCTAAGAATGTTAAATGTGATATATTGTAGTGAAAAGAATAGTCTTTGTTCTAAGCAAGTTCATGGAATTTGGAAATGATTTTCAAAGACGTTGAACAACCACCTACAATAGCACTCTTCCCTTGCACCACAGAATCATAGGACTGGAAGGAACCTTGAGAGGTCATCTAGTCTAGTCCCCTGCATTCGTGGCAGGACTAAGTATTATCTAGACCAGTGGTTCTCAACCAGGAGTCCGGGGCCCCCTAGGGGGCCATGGGCAGGTTTCAAGGGAGCTGCAAGCAGGGCCAGTGTTAGACTCATTGGGGCCCAGGGCAGAAAGCCAAAGCCCCACCAAATGGGGTGGAAGTCCAGGGCCTGAGCCCCGCCACATAAGAACGACCATAATGGGTCAGACCAAAAGTCCATCCAGCCCAGTATCCTGTCTACCGACAGTGGCCAATGCCAGGTGCCCCAGAGGGAGTGAACCTAACAGGCAATGATCAAGTGATCTCTCTCCTGCCTTCCATTTCCACCCTCTGAAAAATAGAGGCTAGGGACACCATTCCTTACCCATCCTGGCTAATAGCCATTAATGGACTTAACCTCCATGAATTTATCCAGTTTTCTTTCAAACCCTGTTATAGTCCTAGCCTTCACAACCTCCTCAGGCAAGGAGTTCCACAGGTTGACTGTGCACTGTGTGAAGAAGAACTTCCTTTTATTTGTTTTAAACCTGCTACCTATTAATTTCATTTGGTGGCCCCTAGTTCTTATATTATGGGAACAAGTAAATAACTTTTCCTTTTTCACTTCTCCACACCACTCATGATTTTATATACCTCTATCATATCCCCCCTTTGTCTCCTTTTTTCCAAGCTGAAAAGTCCTAGCCTCTTTAATCTCTCCTCTTATGGGACCCGTTCCAAACCTCGAATCATTTTAGTTGCTCTTCTCTGAACCTTTTCTAATGCCAGTATATCTTTTTTGAGATAAGGAGACCACATCTGTACGCAGTATGCAAGATGTGGGCATACCATGGATTTATATAAGGGCAATAAGATAGTCTCCGTCTTATTCTCTATCCCTTTTTTAATGATTTCAAACATCCTGTTCGCTTTTTTGACTGCTGCTGCACACTGCGTGGATGTCTTCAGAGAACTATCCATGATGACTCCAAGATCTCTTTCCTGATTAGTTGTAGCTAAATTAGCCCCCATCATATTGTATGTATAGTTGGGGTTATTTTTTCCAATGTGCATTACTTTACGTTTATCCACATTAAATTTCATTTGCCATTTTGTTACCCAATCACTTAGTTTTGTGGGATCTTTTTGAAGTTCTTCACAGTCTGATTTGGTCTTAACTATCTTGAGCAGTTTAGGATCATCTGCAAACTTTGCCACCTCACTGTTTACCCCTTTCTCCAGTTCATTTATGAATAAGTTGAATAGGATTGGTCCTAGAACTGACCCTTGGGGAACACCACTAGTTACCCCTCTCCATTCTGAAAATTTACCATTTATTCCTACCCTTTGTTCCCTGTCTTTTAACCAGTTCTCAATCCATGAAAGGATCTTCCCTCTTATCCCATGACACCTTAATTTACATAAGAGCCTTTGATGAGGGACCTTGTAAAAGGCTTTCTGGAAATCTAAATATACTATGTCCACTGGATCCCCCTTGTCTACATGGTTGTTGGCCCCTTCAAAGAACTCTAATAGATTAGTGAGACATGATTTCCCTTTACAGAAACCATGTTGCCTTTTGCCCAACAATCTAGGTGTCTGACAATTTTATTCTTTACTATTGTTTCAACTAATTTGCCTGGTACGGACATTAGGCTTACCGGTCTGTAACTGCCGGGATCACCTCTAGAGCCCTTTTTAAATATTGGCTTTACATTACCTATCTTCCAGTCATTGGGTACAGAAGGTGGTACATTGGGTACAGTCATTGGGTACAGGTTACAAACCATAGTTAATAGTTCCGCAATTTCACATTTGAGTTCCTTCAGAACTCTTGAGTGAATGCCATCTGGTCCCGCTGACTGTTACTGTTCAGTTTCTCCATTAATTCCAAAACCTCCTATAGTGACACTTCAATCTGTGACAATTCCTCAGATTTGTCACCTACAAAGGACGGCTCAGGTTTGGGAATCTCCCTAACATACTCAGCCGTGAAGACTGAAGCAAAGAATTCATTTAGTTTCTCCGCAATTATTTTATCGTCTTTAAGTGCTCCTTTTGTATCTCGATTGTCCAGGGGTCCCACTGGTTGTTTAGCAGGCTTCCTGCTTCTGATGTACTTAAAAATATTTTGTTATTACCTTTTGAGTTTTTGGCTAGCTGTTCGTCAAACTCCTTTTTGGCTTTTCTAATTACATCTTTACACTTAATTTGGCAGTGTTTATGCTCCTTTCTATTTATCTCACTAGAATCTGACTTCCACTTTTTAAAAGGTGCCTTTTTATCTCTCACTGCCAAACTTAGCTTCACAGGGGCCCCTATGGCATGGGGCCCCCCACAATTGTCCTGCTTGCTACCCACTAATACTGGCCCTGGCTTTTATATGCAGAAAATCAGTTGTTGTGGCACAGGTGGGCTGTGGAGTTTTTATAGCATGTTGGTGGGGGCCTCAGAAAGAAAAAGGTTGAGAACCCCTAATCTAGACCACCCCGCTCTTAAAAATCCCCAATGATGGAGATTCCACCACCTCCCTAGGCAATTTATTCCAGTGCTTAACCACCCTCACAGTCAGGAAGTTTTTCCTAATGTCCAACCTAAACCACCGTTGTTGCAATTTAAGGCCATTGCTGCTTGTCCTATCCTCAGAGGTTAACAAGAACAATTTTTCTCCCTTCTCCTTGTGACAACCTTCTATGTAGTTGAAAACTGTTATCATGTCCCCTCTCAGTCTTCTCTTCTCCAGACTAAACAAACCCAATTTTTTCCAATCTTCCCTCATAGGTCATGTTTTCTAGACCTTTAATCATTTTTGTTGCTCGTCAAATTTTCTCCAGTTTGTCCACATCTCTCCTGAAATGTGGTGCCCAGACCTGGACACAGTCAGGGGTGAAAGTAAGGGGGTACGGGCCGGTACAGCGTACTGGTAAAAGGTAGCCGCCAGTACCGGCCCGGACCGCTGACTTTAAAGCGCTAGAGCAGCAGGGCTTTAAGAACTCTGCTTAAGGTGATGCCGCAGCAACGCTTTAACGTCGCTGCCCCTTTTGCATCCCCGATCGGCAGCTCTGCCAGGTCCCTACCAGCAGGGCCGCCAACTCGGGGGGGGCCGCAAAAGGGGCAGCGACGACCCGGCAGGGCCACCGATGGGGGGCACAAAAACGGCAGCGATGTTAAAAAAAGGGCCGCTGACAGTGGGGGGCAGGGGGGCAAAAGAAGTAGCTGCCCCAGGGCTGCGATTTGAAAGGGCTCGGAGCCCCGGGCCCTTTAAATCGCCGCTGGAGCCCTGGGCGGCGCGGGCCAGGGAGCGCAGATGGAAGGGCTGGGGGACGCTGCCCCCCAGCCCTGCCCCTTCTGCCCGAGGCCATGCCCCTTCTGGGGAGAGAGGAAGGGAGGAGGTAGAGCAGCCCCGTACTGGTAAGAGCTGCATTTTACTTTCACCCCTGGACACAGTACTCCAGTTGAAGCCTAATCAGCGTGGAATAGAGTGGAAGAATTACTTCACGTGTCTTGCTTAAAACACTCCTGCTAACACATCCCAGAATGATGTTTGCGTTTTTTGCAAGTGTTTCACTGTTGGCTCATATTTAGCTTGGGATCTATTATGACCTCCAGATCCCTTTCCGCAGTACTCCTTTCTAGGCAATAATGACCAAGGGTAAAATCCTGGCCCCACTGAAGTCAATGGGAGTTTTGCCATTGATTTTAATGGAGCCAGGATTTCATTCCAAGGCCCCCAACCTGCATTGACTTATGCATGTACTTAACTTCATGCATAAGAGTAGTCCCTGTTATGCAATGTGGGTAGTGCCATTGAAGTCAAAGTTAAACATATGTAAGTCTTCGTAGAACTGGGACCCAAGCCTTATTGGTTGATGAGTGATGTGAAGTTCACAAGTTGACATAGTAAGGCTAGACCTGTGTGATCAGTGAGATTACAGTACTTACTTTTGGTCCCCAGCCGCCGAATCTCCTCAACTAAGAGGTTAATTTCATGTTCCACATTCATTGTTGTCTACAAATAGAGTAAATGTATATTTAGATAGATATAAGGTATTAAGACCAATCCCTGCAATTTCTTTTAACTCATCTGATCTGATCCTTGTTTATATATCTCCAGTGTTGTCAACTCTCATACTTTTATCATGACTCTGACAATATTGATGTTTCACTCAAAGCCCCAGATTTTGGAGACGTGATTATGTGACAAGCAGGTTTCAATTTTTAAAAGGGTAAGTTTCTAGTCCTCATGGTTTCAGAGGAAAGCTTGAAAATGTGACACAAATGCACTCTGTAGGCTAGAAGCAAACAAAAAAGAACCCCAAATGTATTCATTTTTTAAAATCTCATATTTAGGGAGTGAGTCCTGATTTTTGAACATCTTGGCTTGACAATACTATATATCTTTGTAAGCTGGTGACTATTTCACCAGCCCAGGAAAGAGCCAGTGCCACACCTGAGTCCATTTCAGGCCCTTGCCTCCAGGCACAATTTATTATTCAAACACCAACCACAAAACAAAGCAATTCATCTGACCAACTTCAGTCCCCAGAAGCTTTGCTGTTGCCTGTCTCAGCCAGCAGCCCTTGAAAGAGAACACATCCTTTCCTTAAGTCCCCTGCTAGATCATGTGACAGGCAGGTAGCCCTTAAAACTTTCCTGACTGTTTTTCCCTGTCCGTCTTCCCTGCTTCCTGCCAATCATTCATCTTTCTGCCTGCAATATGGCATCAGTGGGAGTCTCAGCACCTTACTTTGGGCCCACAGTCATGCATTTGTAACCTCTAAGCAGGTATTAGCATGGCATTCTAAAGTGAAATGCATGGCAAAGACTGAATAGCTGTGTCTAAAAGGGGTTCTCCCCCTAAAATTTCCCACGATTACTATAGCTAGTGCAGCTCCACCAGTGGGAGCAACCTTGGGAGCACTCTAGAAAAGGCTCCAGGCAGCCACTGGTGTTTTCAGCACCACAGGCCAGATCCTCAAATAGTATAAATTAGTGTTGTTCCATTGAAGTCAATGGAGCTAAGCCAATTTACTTGAGTTGAGGATCTACCCCAAACTAACCTAATCCTGCTCAGAGCAGGTTTACACAACACAAAAAGGGTTAAAAGGCCAGTGATCACTGATACTTTATTTACACTGGTACTCCCACCTTACTATTGCCAGTGAACTGAACTGGTTTTAGCAGTGCTGGGAAATTTTAGACAAATGCCCTGTCACAATGATGCCAATATTTACTTTCACTCACCGTGATCCCAAAGAACTATTAAAAGACAAAATTTGCCCCTGAATATGTTTTGTAAGACTCTCTTGGCCCACTAAATGCAACTTCCTTTGCCGTGAAATATGGCAACAGTCAATGCTATACAATAGTTTAGGGCAGGAAGTGAAGGAGAACTTATTTGGTAAAAAGACTGTAATTACCCAAATTGTTATTTGGCCAAAATACCAGGGTAAATAACCCTGTGCTTTTGAAAAATGTCATGGGATTTATAATGTGCACAAGTTTTCAGGGTCTCTTGCGCCTCATTTAAAAGGCAGTGGCAATACGACCTTGCACCATGCTGATACATTACTTGATGCTGATGCAGAGGGAAGAGGACCACTTACTAAATTGACATTTCTTGGGGCACCTAGCATTTTCTAGAGGGTTCCCACTGACAAATTAAGCAGGTTTGACCCTGCTTAGTTTGTAAGAGTTGAAAAGATCATAGTGCAGTGTAGTATGATGTACATCAACAAGCAAATACAAAGAAACCTGACTGGGTAAGTGCGATAAGGGTTATTTTGAGATGCAAACTGCACATCTCACTAGAATGTGATGCCTTGAATGGGTCCACTGGACATGGCCAGTTCATGGAAGATAGATTGGGACCATTGACTCTCTGCCAAGAATGGCATTTATATTCTGAAACCCCAGAACTTCTATGAGAAATGCTTAACCCTTTTGACTGGGTTTTATCAAATAGAGGGCAGTGATGGTCAGAATAGGTTTTATTATTTTATTGTTTAACAGATTTGTTCCATGTGTTTATTAAGAGTAAGATCAGCTCTCTTTTGACCTGACAACAGTAAGTTTTTCCTACAGTACTTTTAAACTCCTGTGAGCCCAGCAAAGCAAATTCCACTATGGAAGCATGGGCTGCATTCTTCTCTCTCTCTGTCATGCACCAAAAGAATCTTTAACTTAGTCCCATTTTCAGATCTTTTATTACACATGCAAGAGCCAGGGACAAAATGTGACTTTCTGATCCCAGATTCAGTTTGCAAACTTGGCATCTAGAAAAAATAATCTTTGTTCATGTAAAGTGAGCAAGTCTAGCATGGAGTCATTGAGACAATAAACATGGGAGGCACCCCATTATGCTAGTTTTTCAGTGTTATATAATTCCTTCCTCTTGCGTTAAAAGTTTATTAGAAAAGCCAGCTCCACAAACTTTGTGGCTTTATAGGAAAATAGGCTGCTCACATGTGCATGGTTTAGGGGATTTGGCACACACAACCTCATCGAACCTACATTACCTCCCTAAAGCATGATAACATGATTGATCATGAATATGCAAGTGGATATTAGCAAGTGCTGAACAATATTCCAACAGCAGATGCTGCAGTGCTACCACCTCTTCAAAACGTGTTTAAAACTAAATGGCAACATGATATCAAAGTTCTAATTATATTAGGTGATGGAGCAAATGAATTCTTCAAACTTGAGGTTCCATTTTTTTTTAATTTAAAGTGATGGCAAAGTGCTTTGCATTGTACAAGACACAGAAGACAACCCCAAGTCCTAAGGAGCTTACAGTCTAAGAGCTGATCCTTCAAACACTACCAAGTGTAGTGCTTGCTACTGTAAGTAGTATCATTGACTTATATTTGAAAATGACTGTTTAAAATTAATTTAGAATCCCCCACCACCACCATCAGTTTAGGAAAGAACATCTTGGAGCCTAAGTCTGAACTACTTCTTTATGTAAAATTCCCATGAAAAGTCAAAGGAGATTGTATAAGGCATGCTTAACTGGAAGAATCGACACAAAGATATTATTTTAAGCAATAATACCCTGGTCTACACTGGGGGAGGGGAGCGGGGGGGGTGTCGATCTAAGTTACGCAACTTCAGCTACGTAAATAACGTAGCTGAAGTTGACATACTTAGATCAACTTACCATGGTGTCTTCACCACAGTGAGTCGACTGCTGCTGCTCCCCCGTCAACTCTGCCTGCGCCTCTCGCGGCGGTGGAGTACAGGAGTCGACGGGAGAGCGCTCGGGGGTCGATTTATCGCGTCTAGACTAGATGCCATAAATCGACCCCCGCTGGATTGATCACTGCCTGCCAATCCGGCAGGTAGCGTAGACATACCCTTAGATATTATTCACTTTACTTTCGAATAAATCCTTCATGCCAAATGTCAAAGCGAATGTCAACTCTAACATTCATTATACTAGTGCTGTTTGTGGCATCCAACATGATTTTCTCCAGGTATTAGGAAAACTAAATTTCACTTTTCATCCTGGAAATTTGCCTGGCAGAAGAGTGTAATATTATTTTGCCTGCATACCTGGAAATATGTTGTCAGTGCCTCTCTGTGCCTCAGTTTTCCCATCTGTAAAATGGGGATAATGATACTTACCTCCTTGTATAGTTCTTTGAGATCTACTGATGAAAAACACTGTAGAAAAACTAGGTTTTTTTATTGTAATAATTTGTACATCATTTTTATCGCCAAAAATATGTCTAAAGTATCTGATGTTACTAGCTACTCAGTGTAATGCTATGCTAGATTAAAAGCCTGAACCTGTTCCCACTGAAGTGGAAATTTCCACTAAACTTTCCATTAACTTTAGCAGAATCAGGATTGGACCTACATGGTCAGACTTTATGATGTTTGTATTGTACTGAGATATGCTGGTGTAAGGTTTATGACTACTGCTTATCTAGTCCTAAAACTATTACAATTCAATGGCAAAAATGTATGTTAATTCAAAGTTAAGATTGCTTAGTGGTAGGTCATCCCCTGGCAGAACGCTCAATTGAGCAAACTCAAATTTCTGAAAACTAGGAAATGCACATTAAGGTTGCCAATGCAACCTTAACCTCTTTCCACACTGCCCCGATATGCCCTGTTAACACCCATACATTTACTCTGCTAACCCCATAGTTGCTGAAATGTTTGCATTTTGTTTAACTCAACATTGTGCAAGAGGACAACTTACCACCAACTGAAGGACAGCTGTGTTACAGTGGAATGGTGTTCCTGGTCGTGTTTCAGATGGTGGGGTTTGTGGTAGGACACATGAGAGAAATCAAAGGCGGAATTTCTGTTCCAAAATACTGACAGTTTTAGGTTTGTGAGAAAGATCCTCTGAACCTTTTCCAACAGATGTACCCCAGAGGTGTCAGAACTTGTATTTTTCATTGCTATACCATACACCTTTTCTGGTCAGCCACAAACCCTCCCATTTCCTATTTAATGTTCTTTCAACACATCTTCCATTATTGTTGCTGTAGCAATTGTTTTCAGAGAAAATTATTACAGCTCCTGGACAGAACTCTTTGATGCAATCCAAATCTGCTCACTTACATTTTATGAGGCGTGCACCAGGAATAAGGCCCAGATCATTTCCACCAGAGTGAATCATCATAATGTCTGGTAGATCACCACCTCTTACGTCACTGGTTAGATGCTGCAGAGTGAGCAAAAGATGATGCCAGTTCAGGACACCTCTCTCCATCTAATCTACCTGTAATCAGCAATCTTCATGTCTTGATGTACTCCTTGCTCTCCCACAAACTTTTGCCACCTCATGATCCACCCAGAATCCACATATTGGCAAGCCTGGCAGCACACATGTTTCTATAAATTCTTTTCCCTCAGTAGTCAAGGTACCTGTGGTGTCAGTTCCAAACCTCCACACTATGTATCTTTGAAAACACCATATTAATTTGCCCCAAGATCAGGAAGTAGCCACTTGCCCTTGGGGAGTGTCTGTGTGGGGATGGGTAAGTAAAACAGATTTTCTCAAACAACCAATCCAAAGCTTGTCTACCACCCATCCTCATTTCCTGTCCCCTCCAGAGCCACAACCCCGCTCCCTGTGGCTAATCCCTCATCCCCTCATAGCCCCCCCCAAAGTAGTCTAGCTCTTCCCCACCTGATATAATAAAATTTCTGGTTATTCTGGCTACTGCCTATTCTGCTGTGTTCACAGTAAACTTCCCCATAGAATAAATGCACATTATAAGAAAGAGAACTTGTAGCAAGCAACATGAAGTATTACATCTGATGGTATACATGAGGTGCATACACATATAAAGGATCAGATACTGCCTTGGGTAAACTCGACAGACTGAAACCATTTTGACCCACATCCCATCAATAATTTGACCTATAGCTCTAAGCAAAGAGACCCCACGTAGAAACTTTTTGAAAAATGGCTATTTTTTCAGGCCTTATATCTTTGCAACCCATAGCTCAAATGACCCCTACCCTGCACCCTACTGAGGCACCAAATGTCAAAGAAATACAGCTAAGCCTGCCACTTTTTAGAGGACTTAGAAAGATCACCTGTTAAACTGAAGTCATGATGCAACCTCAATTAGAGTGGCACTACCGCAGCACTATAATAATGAGAAGTCCCTGCCCCAAAGAGCTTATAGTCAAATGGAATTGGTGGATGTGTGAAGGGTTTGTACATGGGTTGAGGTGCACAGATCTAGCTGTGGGGAGCAGGGGGGGTTGGGATGCATTGGCAGAGCTGTGGGGTGCAGGAAGTTTGGGGTGCATTGGCAGAGCTATGGGGTGCAGGGATGGGGTGCGCAGGCAGAGCTGCGGGGGGCAAGGACTCCCTCACCTCTCTTCCCTCCTCTACCATGCATCCCCCTAAGCCCACTCCTTTTGCTGCAGCCCCAAACCACTCTCCTCATGTTTTTCCAATCCTCCATCCCCTAATACCACTCCCCTCTCCTCTACTTTTCCCCCCAAAATACTTTTATTATATTCCCTCCACCCCCAAATAAAATTGCCACCCATGACTGACAAGTTGCAGCAAACTCCGGCCACTCAGTGCAAAACTCCTTTTGTCTTAGGTAGGGGCTTGTCATTAATTTATGCCTAGTTATATTAATTGAAGGCTGAGTTCACCACTATCAATCTCAATGAGGCATGTCATTCATCCAGTCTTTAGTAGCTCTCAGTTTAACAGTACAAGGCAGCAGAGGGAAACTGGGCTTTTGAGGGGGTGTACAGAGGCCTGTAAGTAAGGAACCCCTCAGTCAAATGACCCCAAATTTGCATCACTAATGCTACCCAGCACCCCCCTGAGGCACACCAAGTTTCCAAGCAAGCTGATTAACCAATCAGATTTTAGAGCATTACTAAGTGTTGAGCTTTAAAGCATATAAAACAACAGGAATGGAAATTGGTCGAGTAATTTTTCTTATTGGTGTAGGCCTACTGTAAAAAATGTACATGACATAACATTCTCAATTTAGGTCCCCCAAAGATTTAGTGGGTGCCGTGCACTACCTTGGGTAAAACTTGACAGACTGAGACCATCTTGACCCACATCACATCGGCAGTTTGATCCCTAGCACTGTGCAAAAGACCAAACAAAAAACCCAAACACACCACCTGGAAACTTTTTGAAACATTGCTATTTATTTCAAGACTTATATCTTTGGAACACCAAGCTCGAATGACCCTAAATTTGGATCATTAGCCCTACCCTGCACCTTCTTGAGACACACCAAATTTCAAAGGAATCTGACTCAGCATGTCAATTATAGAGGACTTAGAAAGATCCATTTTTTTAACAGAAATCATGATGCAACCTTAACTATAGTACTTGTGGCACCTTAGAGACTAACCAATTTATTTGAGCATGAGCTTTCGTGAGCTACAGCTCACTTCATCAGATGCATACCGTGGAAACTGCAGCAGACTTTATATATACACAGAGAATATGAAACAATACCTCCTCCCATATTCTGTGTATATATAAAGTCTGCTGCAGTTTCCACGGTATGCATCTGATGAAGTGAGCTGTAGCTCACGAAAGCTCATGCTCAAATAAATTGGTTAGTCTCTAAGGTGCCACAAGTACTCCTTTTCTTTTTGCGAATACAGACTAACACAGCTGTTCCTCTGAAACTTAACTATAGTGGCACTGCAGCACCATGATAATGCCCAAGTCCCAATGCTGCTTGAAGATCTGCTAGCATGAACCGTATTTCCTCATTGAATCCTGCTGAAGTCAATAGAAGTCATGAGTGCAGGGACCTTGCTAAAAGATTGTGTTAAGGATCAGAGTGGAAGATGTCCATTTCAAGACACCAGCCCTCTGAGCAAAAATTTTAAACATAACAATTAAAAAGAAGGCATACCGAGTGAGAATGCAGTAAAAAGACTTCTTTTTCTGAGCAACCTGTCTGCTGCCCTTTAAACTCAAGGCTGTGAGATCTGACAACTCGCATGAGGCGGAGATTTCTTTTGAGTGATGTTGTAAATGGTTTATTGAAACAAGCAGAAAAGCTCTTCTCCCAAAGGAGCTGCTTCAAAAACTGCTAGAAACTCTCTCCAAATGAGTAAGACTTGGCAGGGAACTCTCTGATGGTCTTGCAAATTTGTCAATTTAGTTTTAAACAAACCTGCCTTTGGTCCCTGTTTGTGTTTAAAGGGCCGTAAGCACATTCCTTTGCATTAGCTTAGTGCTCAGTAAATAATAGGTCTGCAATTGGAGAATGACTAACTTCCTTCCTGATATATACCACACACCCTATTTGGTCATGGTGCCTCGCTTGGAGTAGCATAGGGCTCATCGAGTATGGGCTCTAACCACACTTCATCCCGTGCGCTTTGCCTTCCTGCTGCCTCCAGATCCCGCTCTGTCCTCCTGTGCATAATTACCAACAACCCGCGTTGCTCTCCCGCCGAGCAAGGCGGCACGTAGCAGAAAGGCGATGCGGCAGCCTGTGAGAGGCCCGTGGGCGCGGGGCGTGGAGAGTGTGAACTGCTGGGGCCGTGGCGAGCCCCTGCAGCAGGAGCAGCGCCCCGAAGTGCAGACCCGGAGGGAGGATCTCCCCACCCGGCGCAGGGGACGCGCCGCACATTCCTTTGCCCCCTTCTGGGCAGAGCCTCGTGGCCTGTGAGCCCCGACGCTGCGGACTGGGTCTGCCCTACACTGCCCCGCTCCTCCATCCACGGCGCGGCGGAGGACTGCGGCCTCCCCGGAGCTGGGACGCAGCGTGCGGCAGGCACAGCAGGGGGCTCCCACCCCAGCCACGTGCAGTGCGGTGTCACATAGGTCCCAGTGCGGAAGCGCTGCCCGCAGGGTGCAGCCAGCAGCCCCTTTCCCTGCCGCGGGCTCCCCCGCTCCAACCCCGGGAACAGAGACCTCCGCCCCTGCCCCGCGAGCGGACTCCCCGGCTGCGGCTCTGCAGTCATTCCGCGGCCGCGTGCGGGGAAGGCTCGGTGTGCAAAGGCCAGCCCCCTTCCCCTCCTCCCCGGGCACGGTGCCCCCCGCGGCTTGGGGAGCCAGCCGGGGCAGGTTCCACTCACCCGCTTATCTGCCCGCCCGGCGGCTTTTCTTGCAGGAATCAGAAGGGAGCCCCCGTGGAGCGGCCAGAGGTGCCGAGTGCAGGAGGAGGAAGTGGCGGCGGGAGGCAGAGAGAGCTGCAACAAGTATATTTCAAACGCTGGGAGAAAGTGCCGCCCACGGGAATGGGGAAGCCTATGAGAATGGGCGGGGGGATTCAACACAGAGTCTGCCTTTGTACAGCCCCAGCTCAAGAGGTCATGCAGGGGCTATTGCTCCCCCCAGCAGCCTCTCTCCCTGATCTTTTTGTTGTCTGCTGCACGAGATCCCCTCCCCCATCTGAAGGTGACTTCCGGGAGGTTTAAGCACAGTGCTGCCTGGAGGCCTGGTCTGGGACTTGTAAGACAAACTAAATCATCCATCCCCATGCCCGTTTAACATCAGACTTTCAAGCAGCAGCTTACAAAACCAAGTGGGGGGGGGGAGGGATCAGGATACAATGACACAAAAGGGATAGGATGATTTAAATCACTTTTTTTCTTGACCGGCATTTATTCTGTAATATATTTTTCTATGTTGCCTTGGTGCAGGATTGCCTTTACCTCACCACTACACTTGCACCATCACTGGACCCCATAACACACAGTCGTTAGGCTGCCACAGAGCTTTCAGGCAGAGGCTGCTAGGTGAATTAACTCACCCATTGAATGGGACCCCGGAAACATCAACTCTGTGTAGGCAAGTGTAACTGGAGAGTCTCTAAGCTCTCCAATTGTAAAGGGATTTTTTTTTTATGTTAGGATTTTTTATTAACTTGCTATCCACTATTTTTGTGGATGAAGAAGCAATTTTTGACTAGAGCCAGTCAGGAAAATAATGTACTATTTTCTGCACAAACTCAAGGAACTTTGCATTCATCAGCTGATAGATAAGCTCTAACAAAATGAAATATTATTATTTATATAGTACCCAAAAGTGTGCTGTGCTTTACAGACATAAGAACCCAAGTCAATGCCCCCAAAGAATTTACAGTCTACTTAAGCAATCTACAGGCAAAGAAGAAGGGATACAATGCAAGATTTCCTCTCTCTCCCATGATGTGCTATCAAAAATATAACTTTTTTCCCTTTTCTTCATTTTTTTTGGAGAAATAAAGGTTTGTTTTGTGTGTAGTCCTCCAACAGAGAAAAATTTATTGGGTTTGGACCAAAAGCCACAGATGGTTGTCCGTGCCTCTCTTTATCTATCAGTTCTAATGGATATGCTTCATAGATTTTAGGGCCAGTTAGGACCAATATGATCATCTAGTCTGACCTTCTGTATAATGTTGGCCATAGAACCTCACCTAGCAATTTCTGCACGTTTTAATCACGTGTATTTTTAGTAAAAGTCATGGACAGGCCATGGGCAGCATGTGTGCTCTGGGGGGCCTGGGACCCCCGGTGGTGCTTGGGGGGGCAGGCGGGGTGCACATCCCAAGACCCCTGCTGCTGCTCGGTGGAGGGGTTTGGCAGGGCTGGTAAGCTCCCTATCTGATTCCGCATGGCTCTCCAGAAGCGACAACATATCCCTCCCTCAGATCCTAGGCGGAGGAGTGGCCAGGAGGGTTCTGCACGCTGTCCCTGCCCTGAGCACCCAATCCGCAGCTCCCATTGGCTGGGAACTGCAGCCAGCGGGAGCTGCAGGGGCGGTGCCTGCAAGCAGGGGCGGTGCGCAAAGCCACCTGGCCACACCTCTGCCTAGGAGCTGAGAGAGGAACATCTCGCCGCTTCCAGGGAGCCCCCCTAGGTAAGTGCCACCCAGAGGCCTCACTCACCTTAACACTTGAACCCCCTGCCTCAGCCCGGAGCCCCCTCCCACACCCAAAATCCTGCTGCTGCTGGGGCTGGAGGCGTGGTGGCCCGAGGTGCAGCTACCCCAGGAACTGCCCGAGCTGCTCAGGTGGCCCCCGGGCCAGCTGCACCGGCCATTGCAGAAATCACGGAGGTCCCAAAAAGTCACCCATACCCATGACTTTCCAGGACTTCCATGACAGACTCACAGCCTTAGTCATAATTTCTGTTTGAACTGTAACATCTTTTAAACAGATACCCAGGCTTGCTTTCAAGGCTTCAAGTAACAGACAATCTGCCACATCCCATCCAAGATAGGTCTCTAACATAATGGAAAAGTAGAACATTTCCACAGAGAACAAAGAAGACTTACTGGCTGCAGATCTGAGAAACAGACTGACAGCAAGTCAGTGATGTCTCAGAGATGTGATGGGGGCAAGCAAGAACCTAGAGACTGTTGCAGTTGGAAATAGAGAATTATATTGTTGCTTGGGAGAATAGCATTTATAAATGGGTTTTCAGCTGAGAAATCAGAACAAGAATATTCTGAAGATGTAGTAGCATCTTGAAATAGAAATTTTATATGAGCCTTTAAAGTGATTGCTCCTCTGTCACTGCTACATTAGCCTGGATTGCAACCCCAATAACCTGACCATAGGTTGGGGGTTGGATTTTATCCCACTCTTCTACCATGCTGGAGACTGGCACAAAGCCAATCACTCTGGCTTTATGCTAGTTCCAGAAGGTCATCTTCTTTCTTTTTGCTCCTGCACCCTCAGGCGCATAGGGCATCCAACAATTTCTCGCTTTTATTTCAGTCCTATGATGGTCTGTAAGGCTTCTGATTGTCTTATTGATGGATTTGGCTTCTTTCTCTGTTGTGCTGCATAATGTTGTTCTACGTCACCCTCTTTGTCTCTTTTCAGGTGGTGACCCTATTATCACATGTTGTGGAAGTCATGTTGGTGGCATCCTTAAAGTGTGTCCTAAATATTTCCACTGTCTTCTTACTTACATAAGTTACATAAGAATGGCCATTCTGGGTCAGACCAAAGGTCCATCTAGTCCAGTATCCTGTCTTCCGACGGTGGCCAATGCCAGGCGCTTCAGAGGGAATGAACAGAACAGGTAGTCTCGTCATCAAGTGATCCATCCCCTGTCACCCATTCCCAGTTGCTGGCAAACAGAGGCTAAGGACACCATCCCTGCCCATCCTGGCTAATAGCCATTGATGGACCTATGCTCCATGAATTTATCTAGTTCTTTTTTGAAGATCCTTTTTCTGAAGATGCTTTTTGAAGATTACTGATGCTTTAAGCTTCTTTCCTTGCCTTGGAATTTCTGATGTTTCAAGAAACTCTTTCTAATTAATTCTGCAAAAAGAAAAGCAGTACTTGTGGCACCTTAGAGATTAACCAATGTATTTGAGCATAAGCTTTCGTGAGCTACAGCTCACTTCATCGGATGCATCTCACGAAAGCTTATGCTCAAATACATTGGTTAGTCTCTAAGGTGCCACAAGTACTCCTTTTCTTTTTGTGAATACAGACTAACACGGCTGTTACTCTGAAACCTGTAATTAATTCTGAAGATCTTTCACACGCATTTACTGGACCTCTTCTCTATTATAGGACAAACTGTTTTTTTATTTCAAATGTGGCTTTTTGTTTGTTTGTTTAACTTCAAGGCCCAACATGGATGCTGAATTCTTGATATTTATGGGGTGACTGCTGTACTTTGGGTCCCTCTAAGCACACTTTATAGGACTATTGAAGTGGATAACGAAAGACATGGAGGGAAGAGGCTGACAGTAGTGGCCCCATTTCCTACTTTAAAATCATCATGTAAAGGATAGTGAGCATGGCTGACCAACCTCAGGAAAACAGAGAAACCAGAAATAGAAAAGCTAGTTACTGTCCACCATTGTGGACACTGATTTCTGCCAACATTTACATGAGTAATCCCACTGAGTTACATGGGATCACTCACACAGTTACTCAAGTCACTTGTATGTTTGAAGGATTAGTTTATAAAGTAGGTTTCTCTTTAGGAAGTTGCCCCAGTGCAGCCCTGCCCTTGCCCATATCCACATCCACATCCCATTATATGCTTCTGGGGAATTCATCCCTGCTTCTCCCTAAATTTAGCAGTATAACTCTTTTAACGTTGGATTAGAAAAGAAGGAGGAGTCTTCCTCAGGTACCCCTTAAAATCTGATGTACATTACTAAGGCAACTTGCCTTTGGTCTAACCTAAGCATAAATCTCTCTCAGGAATGAAGAAAGTGTTCCACTTGAGTGCAGACTGCAAGATTGGCCCATAATGTTAGTAATACAGTAGAGAGCTAAAAGAGCTTCAGGATGACCCTAAAGGTATGCTTGGTGGACGTCACTTGAAATCTATAAAACTGAAATTGAAGCCTGTCTAATTGTGCATGAAAGCAGAGTTGGTAGAGAATGTTTTTGCATGGGTGGTCTTTATATGTAGCAGGGCATGGGGAATTATGTGTTTTTCAGGAAGTGTTGATATTATGGATGCTGATTGTGGAGTAGTGTTTGGGGACAAGAGTGCATGAAGGAAGGGCGTAGTGAGATGTTTCAGTTACTGCCTGTATCTATCTAAGGTACTTATATGACTCTCTCTACTGTAATATCTCAGCATCTCAAATACTTTAATGTATTCATCCTCACATCACCTCTATGAGGTAGAGAAGTGCTATCATTCCCATTTGCAGATGGGGACCTGAGGCACAGAGAGACCAAGTGACTTGCCCAAGGTCATATCACAATTCTGCAGTAGACCAAGGAAGTGAACCATACTCTTTTGAGTCACCAGCTAGCACCCTAACCGCAGGCTGAGACTTCTTCTCTACCTCATACACTCAGCCCTCTTTATTAAGCAAGTGCCTCCTCCACCCAGGTATCACTTGTACTTCTTCAGAAAATTGACAAGTCTTGCTCTGCATACAGTTGTCAACTAATGGTAATAGTGATGACAGTTACATTAATAGTGATGACAGTTACATCACCTCAAATTCTGCTCTGAATTTAATATTTGTATTTATTAGTTTGACATAAATTGCCTTCTTAGTGCTCAAGCATTAATTATGACTCATGACAGAAGTGCCTCAAATCTTTGTCTGAAGGAAATCTTTTTGAAATACAACAGAACTCTGGCTGGGTGTTTGTTAAGACTGATGTATTTAACATGTGAAACCTTGTTATGGCAAAAGTCATTACATTTAATTTTTGTCAGAAAATATCAAGCCCAGCTACTGGCCATGGGAGCATATTTCACAGCCACCCAGCAGACCTATGAGTGGAAGGAGACATGAGAAGATTTCTGTCACTGGATTTATTGGAGTTGGTTGCTGTTCAAGTGCATTGATTTTGAGAAGTGCTAAACACCCACAACTCCCACTGAAGTTGTGATACTGAACACCTCCAGAATCAAGCCTTAATTCAACAAGTGTGTTATAATTGCTGTTTTAACATACATGACACTGCATCATCTCAATC